TCGGATTTTCCGACATAATTCCCTGGGGGGCTGCTCACGGGTCGAAGTCCTACTTAGAACAGACGAACACCTATACTCCTCCTTCGAATTATTAAATTAATTTAATGTTAGTAGTTAGTAATCACACATTTGTGCGTCTGTTCGTACAGGACGGATATCCCATACTGAAGTTGCAGGGGTTAGAAGTCTAATGCGATTTTGCTTCCCTGTTAACTCTTGAGAGGCTACAATTCAAGCCTAAATACATATTATTTAACCCAGTAGACTGAATGTGATCAAGTACTACAGTCAAGTATGATTCAGGGACTACTGTGAGATCAGTGACATTAGATATAACTTGAAATTGTTCAGGTAACTGGTCACTGATATATAAACACTGAGGCCCATGGAATACATCTTGATTAAATAATAATTGTATCAAAATCAGTCGTCAGATTTATTGAGGTTTAATTTAGTTAGTTGATTCAGAGGATTGAATAGCCCATCATTAAGGTCAAGTATGGTTCTGAGACTGCAGTGGGTTCAGTGACTTGTAGCTGTTTAGGCTACTGTTCACTGATTTGCCACTGAGGCCTCATGAACTCATCTTCAGCTTTAAAATGATGATATTAACATCAACCTCTGTTACTATAGTCAGCTGTAATCTCCTTAGTATAATGCTACTGGAGAAATATAATCAATTGAGAAATTTAGATTTCTATTTGTATTGTTTATCCGCAGGCATGGGTCTCCTCAGGCTTAATACTGGGCCTGAGAGTAATTTACCTTCTGCAGAATTTAACATGGTTATGCCCTGATATTTAGTAGGGCTACCAATGAATCAATGGTAGTAGTCTGTACCTACAAGGAGACCGAAGTCGGTGAGGTGATCAGACTTAATATTATCTGCCAATTTTATTCCTCTATTTCTCAGGAATTTGGCTGTTGCTCTCAGACCTTGAACTTCTAGGTCTACTGGTATTTTGTCCACCACAATGGCTTGTACTTGACAGACGTACCTGCCTAAATGTACTGATGGTTTAGTCATGGTGACTTGTTAATTGGATAGTACTAGCTCATAAATTGTACACAAGTACTGATGGTAGCCTAGGGTAAAATTCTGCTATCACTAGGCTATAATCCTACCTCTACTAGAGGTTAGCACATAAAATTAATACACATTATATATATATATAATCATACACACTAATGATTTGAGTGATAAACCAATGTCACTGGAAGTACCTTTAGGTTAGCTCTTCTATATCACCCTAGGATGGTATAAATACTAATTAATCACTCAAAGGTGTAATGATCATAAGTAAATTATTATATATACAACTCAACTCGAGTTGATAACAATTATACCCAAAATAGGGTCTGCACCATTCATTGATGGTGCTAGGTTGTTCAATATAGTACAACTAGACTATGGTAATAATGGGACTAGCATGAACAATAAATAGTTCAACTAGTCAATGGTAATATCCTACCCTCTTGTGGGTTGGCAATTAGTAAATATTATATTGTGAAAGTAGTGCAATATATATTAAATAATTCTCTATTTTGGAGAAATAATATACACAATTATTGATGATAGCCTCTTAATTAGCCTCTATGAAACTTCTAATATTATCTAGAAGTATTAAATATTATTAGTGACCTCGCGAAATTAACTCCACAAAATTCGTGGATAATCTCTTGCGAAATTAACACCACGAAATCTGTGAATAATCTTGCGACGACACAGCCACTAATTTGGCTGGCTTCAATATAAGCGCTGTCATCTCACGGACTAACACACCACCAAATCTCTGGGTGACTATGAAACCGCTGAGTAGGCTGGACTGAGCTGGGGGCTCGTGAACTCGCTCGAGGGAGGCTACGCTGCCGTCTTTGACTGGCAATATTGTTATTGTATAAATCACACTGCACTAGTATATTTAATGAATCCACTGGTTAACTGGTTCATCCGGTACTAAGATGACCAAATAATCTCAGTTCAAAGGACCAAATAATGTGGAAACCGACCTGTGAGATTTATATATCATTAATTTATATGAATTTATATAGATTTATATTTATGTTAATTTATATATTTCGATAGCAATTTGTATGATGTTAAGTGGACTGTATTTCTGCAATAATCTCACAAATCGATCCATACACAATAGGGGGGTTTATATTATATATATATATATATGCAGCCAATCAAACTACAGTATTAAACTACATATATCAGTATACATTGAGGAGGTTCCTTATCTTATTGTACAGCCAGCTTAGTCCACCAGTTGTAGGATGTAGACACCAAATTTCTTCGTGTGAGGCAGCTTCCATCACCCAGTAACTGATATACCAAGCTAGCTTCCTCTTTTTGTTCCTGTCAAAGGGCGCTAGCTGTAAAGCCAGAATCCTAATATATGACAGCTATATCAGAGAAAACACTGTATAATGAATCAGATAAGGACCAAGGCTTAATTACCTTTTTTGAGTCGATCATTTGTGTTCTTACCGGTTCGCCCAATATCTACCTAACATTAATGGCCAAAAATGATTAGATAAACGGGTTTCGGAAAAACACTTCTCTTGTGATTGATGACAGCGTGTTGATGATGGAAGACGTTTGGTTTCCATAACACTTCGTCCAAAAGAATTTATAGGAGCCGAATTTGCCTCACGACTCTCAAGTCTTAACAACAATGGCTGACCACTCTTCCTCACTGACGCCTGGCCTACTTTGTCCAGATATCAGTAACTGATAAAAGGGTCACATTTACTTTATTTGGATACTAATAATTAAGTTAATTCAAATGATGTTTTTATGAAGGTAAAAGTCCAAAGACTAATGTATTTAAGAATAATTCAACCACAATAGCTGGTGAATTTATAATAGTATGTGGCAATGATATCCCATTTTCTAATGACGGAAAATTCCACTACAAGCTACATTTTCTACGGGTAACTTGTGTATACAACACAGCAGCAATATTATCTGCAATTGTATGCAATATTATTAAATGGTGTCGGATTTTCCGACAATGCGATTGGTAAGATCGAAAAACCGTCCCAAGGGAGTTCTAGGTTGGGACCTGGGTGATGGTGCTACTACACAGAAAGTGCAAGGTGACTGAACTGCGCTTTGAAAACCATACAGGGTTGTGAAGCATATCGGCCAGGTGAACTATGAAATCAGCAAGCTGGACCGACCCAGTAAGATGCAGGTGTGTCATATAGATCGTCTGAAGCCTTATTTCCAGGAAGAAGGAAAGGCCACCGTTCGGAACGGGACGATGCGACTAGAAGGAGAGGGGAGAGCAGTTATGTGTATAAGACTGAACCAAGTATTACCAGTGGAAGAAGGAAAATGGGTCCATGCTGATGGTACTCATCTTTCCAACACTGAGAGTCTAGGAAGCATCTGATGGTACTCATCTTTCCAACACCGAGAGTCTAGGAAGCATTGAAGAGACGTTACAACATCTGAAAGGGAAGCAGAGGGCCGAATAGATAACCATTCTGAGGGCGAATGAGTCTCTTTTCACAGACGTGCCTCGACGCCACAGGAGTGTGATGCACGAAGTGGAAGTGAGTGGTGATAGGCCGATTGAGCAAAGTGCTTATCAGGTCAGCCCGAAGAAGAGGGAGCTAATGAGGAAAGAAGTGGAATATCTTTTGGCGAAAGACCTAGCAGAGCCCAGTAACAATGAGTGGAGTTCGCCTTTTTTGTTGGTAAGGAAGAGGGATGGGACATACCGTTATTGTACGGATTATCAGAAGGTAAACGCCATCACTGTGTCGGATTCTCATCCGATTCCCCACATGAATGATTATATTGACCAGGTAGGCAACGCCAAGTACGTGTCGAAGGTCGATCTCCTGAAGGAATATTACCAGATATCATTGACTCCAGAGGCTAGGAAGATTTCTGCTTTTGTCATGTTGGACGGGCTTTACCAGTACAAGGTGCTGCTGTTTGGATTAAAAAACAGTGGCAGTTGCTTCCAGAGAATGATGAACGAGGTGCTTTGGGAGGCCGAAGGATGCACGGTGTACATAGATGACATCGTGGTGTACGCCAACAGTTGCAAAACATATTTGGTCCGATTTAAGAAATTGTTCAGGAGGCTTGAGGAAGTGAACTTGACGGTGAATCTAGTGAAAAGCGAGTTTGGAAAGGCTCGTCTAGAGTACTTGGGGTTCATTATAGGACAAGGAGAAGTGACCCCGGTTGATCAGAAGGTGACAGCAGTCAAGGAGTACCCCGTGTTCAGAACAAGGAAAGAATTACTTCGGTATCTGGGAATGATAGGCTACTTCAAGGGGTTCTGTAAGAATTTTTTCACCATAGCCCACCCTCTGACTGGTGGGCTATGTTGTTGTTATCCAAGAATAAGAGATGGAAGTGGGGGAAGGCCTGCCAGGAATCTTTTGAAAAGACGAAGAGCCTGTTGACAGAGACCCCTGTTCTGATATCGCCAGACTTCTCGGCGAGATTCATACTGTATGTCGACGCCAGTGACGTGGAAATAGGAGCCATGTTGGCCCAAGAAAGGAACGAGGTACACAGACCAGTGGCCTTCTACTCGAAGAAATTTGTAAAGTACCAGCGTGCCTACAGTACCGTCGAGAAAGAGGCCCTAGCTTTGGTCATGTTTCTAAAGCATTTCGATATATATGTGGGAGGAGGTGCGCGGCCTTTACTAGTATCCAATGACCATAAACCATTGACCTTCCTGTACAAGATGAAGAATTCAAACCAGAGGTTAATGAGATGGGCGTTTCTTCTGCAAGAATATATATTAGAGATAAGGCACATTAAGGGAAAAGAGAATGTAGTGACAGATGGCCTTTTCCATGTGCACTGATCAGATATGACTCTTATTTTAAAGGGAGGAGTATATGATGGTGTCCCTCCCCAACATTTCTCCTAACCCAGCTTAAAGAGTTATATCGCCATAACCTGAGCGTTCTCTGATATCCAAGGAACATTTTCATATGTGTGAGAGTGTGGAGCGTTATCAGGTTGGCTGTAAAATTGTCATTTAAGTTTGATTATGCAAGGGCTTACGCCCAATTGAGGCACAAGATGGCGCCGAGCCATTCTGTTTCCCGCCAAAGCGTCGCGGCACCTTCCGGCACCTGAATGGCCAGGTAAGGACATGTGCTAGAAGTGACCAATAACGAGGGCCCTCGGGATGTGACATAACGAGGCGGAGAGCTCTAGTGGGTGGCTGGCACCTGGACGGAGAGAGTACGTCACGGACCATCACAGAGAGAGGATGCGTTCCAGTGACCTCCAGATCTAGAGACCAGAGAGCCCCTACAAGTGGATTTAAGCATCGCTCTGATACTGCAGTGGCAGGGTTCACCCCTTTCCACCCTGTGGTTGGGGTCGTCTCACAGGTCTTAGCCCCTCAATACCGGGCGCCACTGCTCTCCCTGGGGCTCCCCCAGTCAACTAAGGGCTGGCCTTATACACCCCCTAGCGAGTGCGGAGGTTCAAGCTTCTTAACACTCACTCAAACCTGCCTGTCCTGACACTGGAACACTTTCTTCTTCTTTATCTAGTCTACTCAGGTTGCCAGCTGGGTGTTTATGCTTGTGTCCCAGCAACACGTCAGTGGTCTTAATGGTTATCTTGATCAAGGATGCAATATCATGTGCAGTGCAAGGTGTCACTAATGGTCTCATAAATATACATAAATATAGCCCTAGAGAATGGAGGCTCACTTAAACTCCTCAGTTAGTTTAAAAGTTTACTGAAGAAACATATATACATTTACAAATGGCATAAAGAAATGTCTATGTTGGAATCATTCGCTGGCGGCCACGTTTCTTGATGAAACGTCTTTGGCAACACGGTCAGCTGACTGGATCCACTCCCCCGGCGTGGGTACACACCTCGCGCCTCTGGCAGCACGATCAGCTGACGGCTCTAGCTGTCAGAACGTTGTATTTTCCCACGCCTCCAGCGATGCGATCAGCTGTGCGTTTCAGAGTACATTGCTGGCTCCTTGCACACCAACTACCCTTCCAGTATCACTAACATCCCCGCCTTAATGTTCACACACACCAACTCATGCCTAAATGAGTTTTTGGCTCTTAGCCTAACGTCTTGTCACTTAGACAATAAAATGATGAGTGGAAATATTCACAACATATAAAGTACTCTAACTCACTTAGCTCAAAAAGGGGGTAAGGGAGGGACAATTATCTACCTTATTTCACTCCAACTACGAAGCTGACTCATCCTCTGTTGAGGTTCCTGGTTCTGGCTTCTGGTCTCCTAATGAACAGACCCCACACACACACACACACACAGGTTCCTCCGTCGCCTTCGTGGTAATGCGTCCTCGCCGTGCTTGCTCACATCCAACAGGTACTGCCTTCCTCCTCCTATTCTCTGGGGGTACTGGAGACAGGTACCTCCATCGTCGTCCTCCACACTCACTGGCACTGTTGACTCTTCACAGTCCCCCACAGCTTCCCCTCGCCTTAACTGCAAGTAGATTTGGGCCCGGCCCTAGCTTCTCGCTTGAAGTGAAAGACTTGGTCCTCTAGTGGGCGTCCCAGACGTCACCAGCCCAACGTTCCTTCTGCTGCAGACTCTTGATACGGCTCTTGGCTCTTCAATCCGGTCCGTCCTTGCCTCCGGGCACTCCACGGAAGTTGGATGGCCTCCCAGACCGCCTGCAGAATCGAAGCGGAGCTTAAATCTACTGGTAAGGGCTCTCTAAGTCTGGAGCTCGCTCGAGGGCATCTTCCCTCTCTGATGGCTCGTGACGTACTGTCTTCCCGCCTCAGGCGCCAGCTGCCCCGCGCCCCTCTTCTTCATGACGTCACACTGCCTGAGGGCTCTTGTCATTGGTCACTTCCGGCACGTGACCTAACTTAGCTAATCAGGTGCCGGGAAACTTAGCAGGCCACTTTTCAGCCAGCTACATCACGCTTCACGCTTTCCCATACATGAAAATGTTCCCTGAACATTAGAGAATACCTAGGTTTCGGAGGTATGACTCTTCTGATATGACTATGACTGACGTAGGAAGAAATACAGGGGTGGACACTGTCACATACCCCTCCCCACTAAAATAAGAGTCATATCGAATGAGCAGCATTGGAGAGGGCAACTATGCTCTTGCTCCCTCCATTCCTGAAGTGTTACTCCTCCCGTTTGTGTCGTGGCTCGTACCACCTCGACAGTCACTTGTGTTTCTGCACTTCCACCTCGCACTGGACCGGGTGGAGTGGGCGTTCCCTGAACACCTATAAGGGAACCTCCTGCCGTGTCCACGAGTGCATTCCAACAACTCGTTAGCACTGCAAGGTTCAGTGCATGTAGAGCCTCCACTGCGTCGTGCAACCTGAGGTGCCCTTGCACTTCCATCACGTCCTACAGGTACTCTATGCTTCCTCTCAGGATCTCCTCTTCGCCACTCTTCTCTCTTCTCGGCTCCTCTTCTCTCGCAAGTGCGCTGTCTCCTCACAGCGACACCTGTTACCTGTCCTCCACCCATCAACTTCCTCTTTTGTACACTAGGCTTTTGCGATGACCCAATGCCCCTTTGGCTTGGCCGGTGCCTACCCTGGGTATACCTGTCCACTGCTTTCTTCCAATCACCTTTCCTATACCATTCGTTCCTTCATTCCTGACGAAAATCTTCACTCCTCCATGAGATTCTCTTCCCTGTAGACGTCTTCTTCGGTTCGTGGTTGGGCTTGTCCACCTCCCTGTGGGTCACCTCACCACGGTGGTTCATCTTGCACCTACCACTATTCATCCGGCTGGCATAGGGTGCACTGCGTCGTGGCTCTTCCACTCTGCCCCTCACAGCCGTTCGCTCATCCACTGAGCTCACCCTTTCTGGTGGAGGGAGTGCGGTCTGCAGCAACTTCATCGCCCCAGATGCTTGTACAGCTACTCCTTGCCACTCCTCCACACGCATCATTAGGCTTAAATGCAGGTTCTCGTCGGGGTTATCCATGACCTCCGATGACCTCTATGTCTTTTCGCCTTCGTCGTTGTCGTCCCTGACGACGTTATCATTGGTGCGTTTGGCAACCTCACCACTGTCTGGGTCAACCAACACCTCACCTGGCAGGGTCGCACCACTGCCTGACACATAGACACTCCTGGCCCAATCGGGTTGTATCCTTTCCCCACCGAGGTCGTTACCCAGCACCATCTGCACGTGCTCTAAGGGTAACTTAGGGGCTACAGCTACGATAGCCTTCTCGACTCCTTAGTCGGCAATCAGCTGTACTTCGTGAAGTGGCAACCTGTATTCCTCACCCACACTACATATCCTCACCACTCCCACAGGTGAATCATTATATTCGTTGGGAAGAATACTCCTTGCTACCATGCTTATGTCAGCACTCATATCATGAAGAACTGCAATCTCAACTGGGTCTGACTTCCCAAACTTCACTGTGGCCCCGAAAACGAAGGGGTGTGCACCCAACCTCATTTCCCAACCATTCACATTGGGTCCACTATGATATGGAGTATGAACAAATACTCTCTCCTCTTCTAACATCAGTCCCACAATCCTCCGGTTCTCGTCACACTCACGGGCGAAATGTCCGCGCCCGCCACAATTAAAACGCCTGGCTCTCCTGGGAGGCGACTCTCCACCTGTCTCTTGGGCAACGCCCCCGGAAACCGCCGTCCCCTGGGTCCTCATCGCGTCCCCGGTCGTCGTCTCCCTGGCAGCATTCCGCGCTCCTGAACCAGTCCCGGTGTTTCCCTCCCCTTGGGGTCTCCTCACCGGTTTCCCTGAACTCTTGGACCGACTCACCTCACTGTGTGCACTATCCTTGGGAGAATCTCTACCCGTCCACGCCCCTCCTGAACTCTTGAAGTTTCCCTCAAATCTTGGGTAAGGCGAGTGCCTAGTCGGTTCTTCCTTCCCGAGATGTAGTGCCTCTTCCAGCAGGTCAGCTCTGTCTGCAGTGGCCTTAAGTTCTCTAATACCAGCCTCCTTGATCCTGACCCTTAGTTCTGGATGGAGCATTGACAGGAATCTTTCCATCACCATCAATTGCTTCAGCTCCTCCATCGTCTCCACCTCCTCAGCCTTCAGCCATCGCAGGAACTTGCGCTCCATGTCCCGAGCAGTTTCAGCATACGACCTTCCAGAAGCTCTTGCGTACTCACGGAAGCGTTTCCTGTAAACCTCCGGGGTTAGTCGATACGATTGGAGCACAGCTTTCTTGATCATGTCGTAAATGGCGCATTCCTCAAGGTCCAACATGTTATAGGATTCCCTGGCCTCGCCAGTCACCCTACTTTGCACTAACGCAGCCCAATCCTCTTCCAGCCATTCCTTCAATGTCGCTATCCTCTCAAAATGGTCGAAGAAAGCTTCAACATCTAGAGGGTCAAAGGTCGGTAGGTCGCGTTCCCGGACCTTGGGGTCATCCCGCCGAGCCGACACTGAGGGCAGCCCGCGCTCCGCCCGACGCATCTCAACCTCCTTCTTCGCTTTTAGTTCTTCCCGTCGCAGTTGTCTTTCTCCTTCTTCTCGTTGTAGTTGGGCTTTGCACTCCTCACGCTTCAGCTGAGCCTTCCGCTTCAGCTGGGCTTCGTGTTCATGCTCCTCCCGCTCCAGTTGGGCTTCACGCTCCTCTCGCTTCAGCTGGGCTTTCCGCTCACGCTCCTTTCGCTTCAGCTGAGCTTCGTGCTCCTCACGCTTCAACTGAGCTTCACGCTCCTCACACTTCAACTGGGCTTCACACTCCTCACAGTTCAGCTGAGCTTCGTGCTCCTTCCGCTTCAGCTGAGCTTCAAGCTGCATTTTCATCATCTCTAGCTTCAGGCTTCTACTGCTACTATTGCTTGATCCTCTACTGCTACCTTCGTCGCTCCGGTTCCCACCAACACTGGCAGGTACCTGGAGCGGTCCTTCCTCGGAAGCCTCCTCTCGGGCCTTGAGCTGAGCCATGATCTTAATCCGACACTCCGCCACCCTGGAGAACCTCAATCTCAACCCAAAATGGTCCGCCACTAGCTGCAGCTGAGCCTTGGTGCACTCTTCCAACTCCTGCGCGTCCCTCGACTCAATAAACTTCTTTGCTCTGTCATCCTCCATCTCTAGGCTATTGAGTAACTGTATACAGGGAATACACTAGCGAGCAGTGTAAACCGAGACCAATATCGACCTTAATAGACCTGCCCTGCACTTGCAATCCTTTGTCCACTGTTGTTCGATGAATCCTGGGGAGGTCACCACTGTCAGAGTTCACCCCCTTCCACCCTGTGGTTGGGGTCGTCCCACAGGTTGGGATTACAAATAAAACAAGTGAACTTGGAGAATGGGCACTAGAAGAAAACCCAGACATAATAGCACTCACAGAAACAAAGCTAACGAAAATCATAACAAACACAGTGTTTCCACAGGGCTACTATGTAGAGAGGAAAGAGAGAGAAGGCAGAGGAGGTGATGTAGCTTTGCTACTAAGAGAAGGTTGGAGTTTCGAACAGATGGTAATTCAGAGCTGTGAAGGTTTCAGTGACTACATATCAGGCACCATTGCAACTGGAGGACAGAAAATTATAATAGTAGTCATATATAACCCCCCACCAAATGACAGAAGACCCAGACGGGAATATGATAGAAACAACTTGGCCACCATCAATATAATAGTGAGAGCAGCTTCTGTGGCTAGCAGGAAAGGATCCAGACTTCTAATCATGAGAGACTTCAACCATGGGAAGATAGATTGGGGGAACAGAGACCCACATGGAGGCCCAGACACATGGAGAGCTAAGCTGTTGGATGCGGCAACAAGAAACTTTCTAAATCAACACGTCAAGGGACCGACAAAAATGAGAAGAGGGGATGAACCAGCCTTGCTTGATCTGATATTTACTCTAAATGAGTCGGATATAAGGGAAGTTAATAAGTTGGAAGCCCCATTGGGAAAGAGTAATCATAGTGTATTGAGCTTTGAGTACCTGGTTGAGCTAGGAATTATCACCCCCAAAAAAGAACTCGGAACCAAAGGGCTGGCGTACCGAAAGGGAAACTATTAGGCGATGAATAAATTCCTATGGGATATACATTGGGACATAGAACTCGGAAACAAGTCCGTACAAGACATGATGGACTATGTCACCCAAAAATGTCAGGAGGCTGTAAGCAGGTTTGTCCCAGCCCGACAGGAAAAAACCAGAGAAGCAAAGGAAGAATCTGTGGTTTAATAGGGAATGTATGAAAGCAAAGGAGCTGAACAAAAGGGCATGGAGGAACTTCCGTAATAACAGAACACCAGAAAGTAGAGAGAGATACCAGAGAACCAGGAACGAGTATGTCAGTGTGAGAAGAGCAGTTGAGAAAAGGTATGAAAATGATACAGCTAATAAAGCCAAGACCGAACCAAAGCTACTACAAAGTCACATCAGGAGGAAGACAATAGTGAAGGAACAGGTGATGAAACTTAGGGTGGGCGAGGACAGGTACACAGAGAAAGACAAAGAAGTGTGTGAAGAACTCGACAAAAGGTTCCAGGAGGTCTTTATAATAGAACAGGGAGATGTCATGGCGCTAGAAGAGGTGGCAGCAAACCAGGTGACCTTGGATAGGTTCGAAATTACAAGAGATGAGGTCAAGAAGCACTATTGGAGCTGGATGTGAGAAAAGCTGTTGGGCCGGACAGAACCTCGCCATGGGTATTGAAAGAGTGTGCAGGAGCACTTTGCTTGCCACTCTCCATAATGTATAGTAGGTCACTGGAAACGGGGGACCTACCAGAAATATGGAAGACTGCTAATGTAGTACCAATATTTAAAAAGGGCGACAGACAAGAGGCACTGAACTACAGGCCAGTGTCCTTAACTTGTATACCATGCAAGGTGATGGAGAAGATTGTGAGAAAAAACCTAGTAACACATCTGGAGAGAAGAGACTTCGTGACAACCGATCAACATGAGTTCAGGGAGGGTAAATCTTGCCTTACAGGCATGATAGAATTCTACGATCAGGTGACAAAGATTAAGCAAGAAAGAGAAGGGTGGGCGGACTGCATTTTTTTGGACTGTCGGAAAGCCTTTGACACAGTAACCCCATAAAAGGTTGATGCATAAGCTGGAGAAACAGGCAGGAGTAACTGGTAGGGCGCTCCAGTGGATAAGGGAGTACCTAAGCAATAGGAAGCAGAGAGTTACAGTGAGGGGTGAGTCCTCAGACTGGCGTGAAGTCACCAGTGGAGTGCCACAGGTCTCTGTACTTGGACCTATCCTGTTTCTGATATACGTAAATGATCTCCCAGAGGGTATAGACTCATTCCTCTCAATGTTTGCTGACGACGCCAAAATTATGAGAAGGATTAAGACAGAGGAGGACAGCTTGAGGCTTCAAGAAGACCTGGACAAGCTGCAGGAATGGTCGAACAAATAGCTGTTAGAGTTTAACCCAAGCGAATGTAATGTAATGAAGATAGGGGTAGGAAGCAGGAGACCAGATACAAGGTACCATTTGGGAGATGAAATACTTCAAGAGTCAGAGAGAGAGAGAAAGACCTGGGGGTTGATATTACGCCAGACCTGTCCCCTGAAGCTCATATCAAGAGGATAACATCAGCAGCATATGCCAGGTTGGCTAACATAAGAACGGCCTTTTAGAACTTGTGTAAGGAATCTATCAGAACATTATATACCACATATGTCAGACCAATCCTGGAGTATGCGGCTCCAGCATGGAGTCCATATCTAGTCAAGCATAAGACTAAATTGGAAAAGGTTCAAAGGTTTGCCACCAGACTAGTACCCAAGCTGAGAGGTATGAGCTATGTGGAAAGACTACGGGAATTAAACCTCCCTTCATTGGAAGACAGAAGAGTTAGGAGGGACATGATCACCACATTCAAGATTCTCAAGACAGGGTTGATAAAGACAGGCTGTTTAACATCAGGGGCACACGCACTAGGGGACACAGGTGGAAACTGAGTGCCCAAATGAGCCACAGAGATATTAGAAAGAACTTTTTTAGTGTCAGAGTGGTTGACAAATGGAATGCATTAGGAAGCGATGTGGTGGAGGTTGACTCCATACACAGTTTCAAGTGTAGATATGATAGAGCCCAATAGGCTCAGGAACCTGTATACCTGTTGATTGACGGTTGAGAGGCGGGACCAAAGAGCCAGAGCTCAACCCCCGCAAGCACAACTAGGTGAGTACAGGTCTTAGCCCCTCAGTACCGGGCGCCACTGCTCGCCCTTGGGCTCCCCCAGTCAATTAATGGCTGGCCTTATTCACCCCTAGCGAGTGGGGAGGTTCAAGCTTCTTAACACTTACTCAAACCTGCCTGTCCTGACACTGGAACGCTTTTTTCTTCTTTATCTAGTCTACTCAGGTCGCCAGCTGGGTGTTTATGCTCGGGTCCCAGCAACACGTCAGTGGTCTTAATGGTTATCTTGATCAAGGATGCAATATCATGTGCAGTGCAAGGTGTCACTAATGGTCTCATAAATATACATAAATATAGCCCTAGAGAATGGAGGCTCACTTAAACTCCTCAATTAGTTTAAAATTTACTGAAGAAAACATATACACATTTATAAATGGCATAAAGAAATGTCTATGTTGGAATCATCCGCTGGCGGCCGCGTTTCTCGATGACACGTTTCTGGCAACACGGTCAGCTGACTCGATCCACTCCCCCGGCGTGGGTACACACCTCGCGCCTCTGGCAGTGCGATCAGCTGACGGTTCTAGCTGCTAGAACGTTGTAGTTTCCCACGCCTCCAGCGATGCAGTCAGCTGTGCGTTTCAGAGTACGTTGCTGGCTCCTTGCATACCAACTACCCTTCCAGGATCACTAACATCCCCGCCTTAATGTTCACACACACCAACTCATGCCTAAATGAGTTTTTGGCTCTTAGCCTAACGTCCTGTCACTTAGACAATAAAATGATAAGTGGAAATATTCACATCATATAAAATACTCTAACTCGCCTAGCTCAAAAAGGGGTAAGGGAGGGACAATTATCTACCTTATTTCACTCCAACCACAAAGCTGACTCGTCCTTTGTTGAGGGATGTTGACATTCCTGGTTCTGGCTTCTGGTCTCCTGATGAACAGATCCCACACACACACAGGTTCCTCCGTTGCCTTCGTGGTAATGCGTCCTCGCCGTGTTCACATCCAGTGGGTACTGCCTTCCTCCTCCTATTCTCTGGGGTACTGGAGACAGGTACCTCCGTAGTCGTCCTCCACGCTCCACACTTTCGACTCTTCACAGTCCAGCACAGCTTCCCCTCGCCTTAACTGCAAGTAGATTTGGGCCCGGCCCTAGCTTCTCGCTTGATGTGCAAGACGTGGTCCTCTAGTAGGAGTCCCAGACGTCACCAGCCCAACGTTCCTTCTGCTGCAGACTCTTGATACGGCTATTGGCTCTTCAATCCGGTCCGTCCTTGCCTCCGGGAACTCCACGGAAGTTGGATGGCCTCCCAGACTGTCTACAGAATCGAATCGGGGCTGAAATCTACTGTAAGGGCTCTCTAGGTCCGGAGCTCGCTCGAGCTCGTCTTCCCTCTCTGACGGCTCGAGACGTACTGTCTTCCCGCCCCGCGCCTCTCCGCCTTATGACATTACATCGCCCGAGGGCTCTCGTCATTGGTCACTTCCGACACGTGACCTCACCTGGCCAATCAGGTACTGGGAAGCGTCAGGACATCTTGGCGGGAAACAGGATGGCTCATCACCGTCCTGTGCTTCAAAAGGCGTAAGCCACTTGCATTTTCAAACCCCTTAGCTGGCCACTTTTCAGCCCGCTACATCACGCTTCACGCTTTCCCATACATGAAAATGTTCCCTGAACATTAGAGAATACCTAGGCTACGGAGGTATGACTCTTCTGATATGACTATGACTGACGTAGGAAGAAATACAGGGGTGGACACCGTCACAGCAGACATCCCGTGGAGTGCCAAGAAGCAAGGATTTGCCTGGCTAGAGAGTCAAGAGCTCTATTATCAAGAGTCTGTAGCAGGCACAGACGTTGGGCTGGAGACATCTGGGACGCCCAGCGGACCCCATTCTACATATCAAGCAAGTAGCGATGGCCGGGCCGAATCTACTGGAAGTGAGGCAAGGAGAAGCACTACTGGACTGCAAATTGGGTCTATGGTGCCAGTGAGAGGAGTAGGAGGGCGATGGCGCAGGTACCTGACTCCAGTACCCTGAAGAGGAGGAGGAGGACAGTCCCTGCCGGGTGTGAGGATGGCGAATACGCGCTACTAAAAGGACGACTTAGGAACTTGTGTGTGTGTGTGGGAACTGATCAACGGAAGACCAGAAGCCAGGACCAGGAACCTCATCATCCCTCATCAGAGGACGAGTCGGCTGCGTAATGGAATGAAGTAAGGTAGATAGTTATCCCTCCCTTTACCCCTCTGATCTAGGCGAGCTAGGATATTCTGTATAGCGTGAACATTTCTTGTTATCATTTATTGTCTATGTGATAGTGTTAGGCTAGGAGCCAAGGAGGTCATGTAGGCATGAATTGGCGGTGGAACATAAATATGTAGATGTGGTGTCGTTGGTGTATCTGGAAATGGTGGCTGGTTTTCGAGAGGCCAGAAACGAACTTTGAATCGTCCAACTGATGTCGGAAAATCCGACACCATTTAATAATATCATACAGACAGATAATATTGCTGTGTTGTATAAACAAGTTACTCATAAAAAATGTAACTTGTAGTGGAATTCCCGTCTATAGAAAACGGGATATCATTACCACATACTATTATAAATTCACCACCTATTATGGTGGGAATTATTCTTAAATACATTAGTCTTTGGACTTTACCATCATAAAAACATCTCATATAAATTAACTTAATTATCAATATCAAAATAGAGTAAATGTGACCCTTCTATCACTTACTGTCATCTGGACAAAGTAAGCCAGGCGTCAGTTGTGAGGGAGTGGTCAGCCATTGTTGTTGTCACCTCCGAGACGCGTGGAGCAAATTCGGCTCCTATCATATCTGGACAATGTTGGCCAGTAGCGTCAGTAGTATGGAGTGTCAGCCATTACTTAGACCATAGGCACGGGAGCAATTCGGCTCCTGTTAATTTTACTTGGACGAAGTGTTATGGAAACCAAAGGTGTACCATCATCAACACGCTGTCAACAAATACAAGTTAAGTGTTCTGCCGAAACCCATTTATCTATCATTTGTGGCCATTAATGTCATTAGATAGGGTGGGCCGGTTAGATCACGAGATCGCCTCATACTAAAGGTAATTAAGCCTTGGTCTTTATGGTTCCTTGTACAGTGTTTTCTCTGATATAGCTGTCATATATTAGGATTCTGGCTTCAGCTAGCGCCCTTTTGACAGGTCAAGACGAGGAAGCATGCTTTGTGTACCAGTTACTGGGTGATGGAAGCTACCTCAAAGAGGATAATTTGGTGTCTGCATCCTGGTTATACCTGGTGGACTAAGGCCTGCTGTACAAATAAGATAAGGAACCTCTTCAATGTATGTAGTCTAATACTGTAGTTTGATTGGCTGCATATATATAAATTCAATATAAACCCCCCCTAATGTGTAGAGGATCGATTTGTGAGATTATGGTAGAAATACAGTCCCCTTATCATCATACAAATTGCTATCGAAGTATATAAATTAACGTAAATATAAATCTCACAGGTCGGTTCCCACATTATTTGGTCCTTCGAAACCGAATTATTGGACCTTCGGAACCGGAATATTTGGTCCTTTGAACCCACATTTGGTCATCTTAGTACCGGATGAACCAGTTAACCAGTGGATTCATTAAATATACTAGTGCAGTGTGATTTATACAAAGCCAGCAGTCAAAGACGGCAGCGTAGCTTCGAGGGAGCTCAGGAGCCTCCCTCAGCCCAGTTAAGACTTAGTCAGCGGTTTCATATGGTCACCGACAAATTTGGTGGCGTGTTATTCCATGAAATGACAGCGCTAATATTGAAGCCAGCCAAATTAGTGGCTGTGTCTTCGAGAGATTATCCACGAATTTTGTGGAGTTTATTTCGCGAGGTCACTAATAATATTTAATACTTCTTGATAATATTAGAAGTTTCATAGAGGCTAATTAAGAGGCTATTATCAATAATTGTGTATATTATTTCTCCAAAATAGAGAATTATTTAATATATTGCACTAGTGATCTCAATATAATATTTACTAATTGCCAACCCACAACAGGGTAGGATATTACCATTGACTAGTTGAACTATTTATTGTTCATCCTAGTCCCATTATTACCATAGTCTAGTTGTACTATATTAAACAACCTAGCGCCATTGATGAATGGTGCAGACCCTATTTTGGGTGTAAATTTTATCAACTCGAGTTGAGTTGTGTATATATAATAATTTACTTATGATCATTACACCTTTGAGTGATTACTTAGTGTCTATACCATCCTAGGGTGATATTGAAGAGCTAACCTTAAGGTACTTCCAGTGACACTGGTTTATCACTCAAATCATTAGTGTGTATGATTGTATATATATATAATGTGTATTAATTTTAAGTGCTAACCTCTAGTAGAGGTAGGATTACAGCCTAGCGAGTGCAGAATTTTACCCTAGGCTACCATTAGTGCTTGTTCAGTATTATGAGCGACCCAAGTACAAGTCCCACAAGACTTCACCAACTAGCCAGTATGGATAATGCAGGGAGAATGAAAAGAACCCTTGCAGGTCTTAAAGGCCACTTAACAAGACAGATCAAGAAATGTGAAGATTTGTCACAACAATCTCCAGTTGATTATGCTGACCTGGAAAGCTGTTATCAAGCAGCTGCAGGAAAATTTGAGCAAATCAAATGCCAAATAGCTCTCCTTGTGGGGACAGACTACTACCATCAATTCATTGGTAGCCCTACTAAATATCAGGGCATAACCATGTTAATTTTAAATTCTGCAGGAGGTAAATTACTCTCAGGCCCAGTATCAAGCCTGGGGAGACCTATGACTGCAGATAAACAATACTAGTAGAAATCTAAATTTGTCAGCTGATTATATTTCTCCAGTAGCATTATACTAAGGAGATTACAGCTGACTATACCAACAGAGTTTGATGTTAGTATCATCATTTAAAGCTGAAGATGAGTTCATGAGGCCTCAGTGGCAAATCAGTGAACAGTAGACTAAACAGCTACAAGTCACTGTGACCAATGTCACTGAACCCACTGCAGTCTCAGAACCATACTTTACTTTAATGATGAGCTATTCAATCTTCTGAATCAATTAACTAAATTAAACCCCAATAAATCTGATGACTGATTTGATGCATTTATTATTTAATCAAGATGTATTCCATGGTGTTGGAAATTTCCAACACTAAATACAACACTGTTGTATTATTATTAATTATTACTAAATCTACTAATCATTGTAGTAATTAAAATTAACCAAACGTAGAGTTCACATGTACTAATAATTACATCTGTACAATAAGGCTAGAATTCTTACGTCACCAGACGCCAGTATTGCGTCAGATTCTATTATAATAAACGCAACTATATGCAGTGTGTCTGAGAATTGAATTTGATTCTCTATAAAACAACGGTGTTGTGTGATAATTAATTGCAGATAAACTGATCCCCAACTAATGCCAAATAAAGCGTTTATAGTTATAACTGTTATCTGGTAATAAATTTAACGTCACGCGTGAATGCCCTGCAGAGACTTTAATTCATCTCCATTGCTCGTTTACCATCATAAAACGGGCAAATAATAATATTTAACTCCTCTGAATAATAAACCCGTCCTTATCCGAGCATTTCAATCGCAACTGCGAGAAATGATAATATTCGTAGTAAATAATTTGTGTATCAAATGCAGGACGCGGAGCGGGGCAGGGGAGACGCTAGTACACGAGGCGACACGCTCAGAGAGAGACGCCATTACCCAAGCCACCAGGGTAGACGCCACCAAGAGCTCCAGATGAAAGTCGCCACTGTGAGGTGTGAAGAACCTTTGCAGACAACAACTTAGCTGGTGTCAGTGTCACTTTACACATTGTGTTGAATTGTCAAGAGATTTAATTTGACATTCAGCCAGGAACCTGTTAAATTTGTTCCGTGTAGCACAACGTGACCGGCCAGATAAGCGCGTCAACATCTAGGCTAGGCTTGACACCACGTGTTCGTTACAACGACGCCTGAACCTAGGACGGGAACTTCGGCAAGCCTTAACTTACACAGTGCCCTATTAGCTAAGTACCTTTATTCCCATTTGATGCATCATTTAGGAGGGGGTTATAGCTGGGTAGCTTGTCGTCACGCAGAGCGACTATAAGAAACCACAGGTTATTATTTACCTCCATTATTTAATTTAATTTTCTTGAACATAGATGTCTAGCAACTTAATCTGTTGCTACTGAATATAATTTGATTTACAGCGTGTGTGAAGAATTCCCCGAGCTGTCATTTCCCGTGTTAATCATCTCCCAGTGTTCCATGATGAGTCCAGGAGATTCCGAGGATGAGTCATAACCGACTTCTTGGAAATCGTCTTCAAGCTAAGACCCTTTCCGTATTCCTTAAATTCCATTATCTGTAGTATTATTCATGCAGAGCACTGTTTCTTTGGATTGACATGTGTTTATTATAATTATTAATTTCTCATGTTATAATCTATGTTCTTATTGGTGATAAATATAATGATTCTATAATTGGTCATAGGATTAGATTATTGCATAATGAACTGGTGCACAAACCACACTAGTTCCTGGACATATATGAAGTTCCAGTAATAACCCCCCAATGTAGGTGTTTGAGGCTTTGATTCAGTTAAATTATACAGCCCATTAATTATATAAGTGATCATATTCTCTAGTATTTATCCATAGTTACTGGTTCATCTAGGAATTTTCTAATGATCATATTTTATTAGTTTCCCTCTTTACTATAAAAGCGGGTGGTCCTTCGTAATAGAATTTCATTACATTAATATTTAAATAAATAGAGTCAAGCCCCAAATGTCCCACATTATGGTCCTTATCGAACCGGATAAACATAAATTATAATTATAAATACTAATTATTAATAACTAATCCTTGTGTGATGTAGTCTAGACTAACCATTTTAATTAATTGTGTCTACCAACAGCGTAACACATAATTTAGTCTAAGTCACACCAATTCGTTGCTACTTTCACCTCATG